GCCTTCCTAATCGGCTGTGCTAAGGGAATGAGAGACTAAGCGCGGAGAGGAGAGTATGAGGGAGCGCAACAGATGAGAGAGCGCCAGACAACAGCCTGATAAGAGAAAAAATCTGCAGCTTCAGCAGCTTACTTTGCAAGGCCCAAGCGCTCTTGTCGGTTGGTTTCCGTGCACGGGAACGCCACATTTGTGATTGTCCTCTAGGGGTCTATACTACAGACCGAAGGAAGCGTTCACACGACCTCTGCCTGGGTTGTGCCTTTAAGGAAATATTTTCGCAGAAAGCGGTATGTTTTGCTTCAGCAACTACACCTGACGGGAAAGACGTGTATCTGAAGGACATTTGGCCAACACGTGAAGAAGTTGCTAAATTTGAAGAAGAATTTGTGAAGCCGCAGTTCTTCAAAGAGGTAAGCTCTAAATAAGATACTTTTCTTTGCAGGAATATTCAGTGATGTTTTCGTTAGGTATATGCCAACATCGAAAAAGGATCGGAACAATGGCAGAAACTAGTTACGCCGTCAACCAAACTGTACCCATGGGACAAGGAGAGCACCTACATCAAAAAAGCACCATTTTTTGATGACATGGTAATTTTTAATGTTAAAGAGGTTCATTAGAGCCCACCCTTTTGTTTTATTCTAAGCATCCATTCCCAAAAAATGCGCGGAAGCATTGATCGAAATACTCAGAAGATGTTGCTTACCGAAACTGCATCCGTCAGGGAGTCAGATTGCTTCGAGTCAGCTCATTTAGCAAATAATTCCAAGGTTATTGGAGGGTAGGTATTCTAGGGTACCCGACAGGAGGCCCGTCGCGCGGCAAGAAGGCAGAGTCAGCGGACGAGTCGCAGCGCGTACTGTAGTGATTTCGCGTCAAGTTAAATAGAATGTACCATTGTACGTCCTACATCGCACATCACGCGCTGCGACTCGTCCGCTGACTCTGCCTTCTTGCGCGACGGGCCTCTTGTCGGGTACCAGGTCTTCTAGACCATGCTCAATCTTGCGGGAAATGCGAAGTGCATTTGGGTCGAGGTTTGGTGAATCTCTCTTCAAGATTCGAACCGTGTTGATCTCGCGTCCTCAACAATTTGGGGCCATACGTCGATGGAGGAGAGTCACCTTTTGACAATTTTTAGTAGCTTATCTATAATCAGCCGCTTCCATTTGCTATTGCACACTTCCGTCTAATGCAAAGGCGCCATTGGTTTTAGTGAATTCTGGTAGAAGGTCAAAAAAAAAACGCGGGCACCTGAAAGATGAATAGTGAAGCCATGGTCCGTCTCCCGCTATTGAGCCTATTCTGTTGCGTCGCTCTTTTCACCCCAACCCGATGGACTCCCCACAAAAGCTGGTGCCAGATGACATTTAGTTCCTCTACGTCAAGAACGAGTGGATCTGCTTTCCACAAGGGGTGGATCCGCATGTGAAATCATGAGCCGAACTTTATCTAGAAGGTGTCAGCTAACTCGGAGCGATTTTCGTATACTGTGGTGAACTCCGAAGCAAGACAGGCATTTACGCACCTACCTACAACATCGGCGTCCAACTTTCGGTCATGCGATAGGAAGAAAGCGAGTGACCGGGAATAGCTTTCATCTACATATTTAAGATCAATCGACATTCGTCCTCGCGTCACTGAGTTCAAGTTGCAGGAGCTTGTCTGGATACCCTTTCCTGTCCACCTTTCTCTACATGTCGCTCGTTGTAGAGCATGTAGATGCAGCTGCAGACTATGCCTTCCATACTAGAAAATCACTGGTTTTTGATGAATTCGACTGTTATCATCTTCGATTGGAACTTTCCGATCCGCAGCTGCTTTGTTTCGAACGATATGCTGATCACTCAAACGATGACGTTGATAAAGTTTGCCTAAATTATAAAAATACAGCCTCTTGTGGGTTTTCGCAATGCCCTTCTACGATATATGCGAAAGAGAAAGATCTCGTCACAACTATCGTATAATTCCTTTGCTCTATTAAAAATTTCATACTTGTTGAAATGTAAAATATCCGCCCTTTGATTGCGTGGTTCGATACACGGTAGGGCAAAACCGAGTGATCGAGCAGGCAGCATAAGTGGCTATTTTTATGCTAGAACATCATAATTTTTAAGGGTTGTTCGCTATAACTAATAATTTCAGACCATTGATCTTCCACACCAATCGTCCATATCTGATGCTTTTGTGTTGTTGAACTTGGGTGATTCGGTCACCACAGATCACATCTCGCCGGCTGGTTCCATTTCCAAGGTTTGAGCTTACCATCAGGATAAGTAGCAACGTGTGTTTCAGAACTCCGTTTTTCTTAGCTTTCGCCTGCTGCTCGATATTTGGCCTCGAGAGGACTCTCTCCCAAGGATTTCAACACGTACGGTGCACGCCGAGGAAATGACGTGGTATATGTTCATGAAGCTGTATGCAATATCTGCGAACTAAACCAAAGATTCATTTCAGGTTATGGCCTGTGGAACGTTCGCCAATATTCGTCTTGTGAACAAGCTCGCCTCAAATGTAGGGCCGAAGACCCTTCATATACCTTCTGGACAAGAGCTGGACGTTTACGATGCCGCCATGAAATATGCCGAAGAGGGTCACCCGGTGAGTAAGTTATGTGCACAATGTTGCAACATAGCTTGTAACTGAAGACTTCTTCTCATGCCAGGTTATCATACTTGCTGGTAAGGAATACGGTTGCGGATCATCCCGAGACTGGGCGGCCAAGGGACCTTATTTGCAGGGAGTAAAAGCTGTAAGTACCTTAGAAAACACCATGTATCCATTTTGTTTGCACTGATTTCGTCTTTCCAGGTTATCGCTGAGTCATTCGAGCGAATTCATCGATCCAATTTGATTGGTATGGGAATAATACCTCTTCAATTTAAAAATGGTGAAAACGCGGAGAAGCTAGGACTCTCCGGAAAAGAACAATTCAGGCAAGGCTTAATGTTCTTTCAAGTTTGAGTTCTAGTTTTTCTCTTTGAAGAATTTTTATTCGAAACATTTCAGCATTCATGTGCCTGACGACCTCAAAGTTGGTCAACATTTGCAGGTGACTGTGTCTACCGGGCAAACCTTCGAGGTAACATTTAACTCGCAATTTATTTACATGCAAACGGCAGTGTTGCCATCGATGTAAAGTCCATTGTGCGTTGTCGCAATCATATACACTATTTCCAGAGATACATTGACTGCTCCTTAGTTTGTGAGATCTGAGGCTCGGCGGCACATAGAGATGCATATTCCTTCTTATTTGGGTTAGCCCATGCTTAGTTATCGCAGACCTCCCCCTTCCCAAACTCGTCTGGCACTCACCTCACCCCTTTGATGGTGAGGTGGGTGTCAGACTCGGCGATTGTGTAATTGTGACAGCGTGATTGCGAAGTGCTTTCGCCGGTGTAGTTATTGAACCGTGTCGTTCGCATGGGTGCCCAGTTCCACTCGGTACTGTGGCATCGCTACAGAATCGCAGCGACTGCCCAATAGCTAAGTCTGGCACTCATCTAACCATAAGCTCGCCGTCCGAGACCACGAAACGATATCGGTAGCTTTCCAAGTCTGCTCATGTACAATTAGACCTTTGTTCGGTGAACCATGTGTTTATTTAGCCTCACCAGAGCCTTGCTCTCATCTTATGGCTGCTGAAAAACGGGCTGCTAATGAAACGTTGGCAGAGTCACGCAAAAGTACGGGCTAATAATCGCTTTAATTGTCTCTGCATCGTAAAGTTATAGGATACGCGCTCACGATAGTCAAACGCATGCTGCTGGGGGTAGAGCAGTGGCGGTGGTGGAGCCCAGAAAGGAATGCCCAGTACGCTGCTGCTAGCGCACCTTTGACCACAAAAACGCAACATTTCGTTTCCTTGGGCCCCTGACTACTGCTTCCAACTGGTGCATGTACTTCCACGCTGCACACGCACTTTATCGTAATCTCTCGCTTTAAGAGGAAGAATTGCTCACGAGCACACATATTAGCTTAGATGTTTTGTAAATCGGCTGGTCATCCATATTTGTCCCTTTTTTTGGATTGAGGATTTTTCACCTATGAAGGTTACCTTTCCCGTAGAATCGTTCCACAAATGTGTATCACTCCAGTATCACCGTATTTCAAAACGCTTTAATTTATACGAAATAGGTGTTGTGACAATTAGTGTTGCTAGTATAATCATCGGACCCTGGTTCATGTTCCACGTGGGCTAAGCAAATCCTCGGAATTACTTGGTTCTTGAAAGCCATAGTTGCTGTACGATAATCATTGGCACTAGTAGGGCCTGAGAGTTGAGTAACTCAGTTTTTAGAATCTCACACTATTGAGGCTACATATCCTTTTGTGTGATTTTATGCATATTTTGAAATTTTTCTCGAAGAAACTATTCGCAGGTCGTGTGTCGTTTCGACACTGAGGTTGAGCTCACCTACTATCGCCATGGTGGAGTTCTGCAGTATATGATCAGAAAGCTTATACAGTGTTAGAAAGGCTTGAGTCAACTGTGGTCAGACTCGCTCTCGGAGCCTTGTCGGGAAGAATTTCATGTTATTTTTAGAATTGTTATGTTTTTACTCTACGTTCTCATTCGTTGCGTTGTGCATTTGATACCATATTCCTCGATTACCTGGTGATATGAGTAGATTTTCTGTGATACATTTTCAAGAGTGACGCTAGCTAAGTGATATGCAACCCCAATTTCGAATAAAGCTCGATACTTCTTTCTTGTAAACTTTTTTCAAGCAACGACCATGATTCCTTCGCGGCGGCTTCGCGCTGACGGCTTTAATGAAGATATCATTTGCGGTAGAGTTTTAGAAGAGAAGACGGTGCGTGATCAAATCAATGTTTTTAACCTCCAAGAAATCAACTGCTAAAAGAAGAAGCAGAGCATTTTTTGCTCTGTTCTTCTCTTGATCTTTCAGTGTTTATTTGCTCGCATCATTCTACAGGGGTGGCCAAAAAAAAGAGACACTCCACATTTCCAGACAGCATTAATCACACTTTGCTAAATTCAAAGTCGACTGCTCTCAACTTAGTATTAAAGAGCCCGTCCCAGTCTATTAATAAACGGTCAAAGAAATTTCGTAACAGCTTCAGGCTGGAACGATTACTTAGGCCTTCTTGAGCTCAACGGTGATGGAAGATGACGTCATATTTTGAGGTGAGGGCAGTGAAAGAGGGCCTGCTTCTACTTATGGAGAACATCTAAGGGATATTTTGCCGTAAAACTTTCATCAACAGCGGCACTCTGTGCGATGAAAAGTTTGATGATGTGCGCCATGGAATAAAGTGTCTTTTTTTGGCCACCCCTGTATAGAAGGTGTCCTAAAGCCGGAACTTTCACTTCTGTGGTGTCAACTTGATCCTTTGATTGGACATCTGCAACTTACTATATTTCATTTCTTTTACCATAGAAAATTCCGAGACGTCATTACCAGTCGCCTACGTGATTTTTAAGTTTTCCTTTTGAAATGAGCAGAAATGTTTCATGGCAGAAGTGAGGTTCAAAACAGTAAGCTTCGTCTGACCGCGTTTGCAGTTCCCATGAGACTTGAGAGTAGATCTGCACAAATCGTTAGTGTGTGAAGGGCTGATTAATAAATAGGGACATTGAAACTCCCGCGTGAACTCAAAGTAAACTCCAATTCAAGTCGGCGTAGCAGTACAGTACTCGCCGTTTGAAATCGAAAATTCACGCGAATAACGCGAATCCTCGTTAATTTCGTGAATTCGTTATAACTCGGGTCAGAGTGAAGTATTCCAGAAACGGAAAACACCGTTGAACTCAGCTCTTCAAGCGCTACAAGATGGTGCTAAAATATTTCAGAAAGCTTGATTTAA